TGTGAGCCTTCTTTTATCACCCACACGCATGCCTGTTATAGAAACATAATATAAGGATTAGTAGCTGCAGATGCGAAAGAAAAGAATTAAATAAGAAATGAGATATCAGATCTACTCATCACTGCTTTTACCGTCAAGACCAAGGTTCCATCCCTCTATGATGCCTTTGTCGCCTTCAAAAATAAAAAGGAAAAGCAGAGTTTAACAAAGGTTCACGAAAACAAAGTAGGTTCTTCTAAGAGTCCTGTGAGTACCTAGCCGAAACTTATATGGAGACTTCCCAATATTTGAGTAAAAAATCTGTCCATTCTCCTTTAGCTTGCCAGTGTAATAAACTTTGATCTGTGCAACAGGCAATGTTGAGATTGTATTCTTTCTCAGGTAGGGCTGCTTAATGTTACATTAATAGTTTGAAATAACTATAAATTCTCGAGTAAATTACCTTCTTTCCTGGAGCGGCCAATTTTCCATCGGGTTCACCCGTTGCAAGCTCTTCAATGGTCAAACCGTTAGATAAAGTCCTTATTACAGTAGACTTGACCTTCAGACTCTTGTCCTCAACATCCACAGATTGTCTATTCATTTCATTCTCTTGCAGAACCGGAAGATCAATGTTAACCATACAGTCCTCCTGAGCTTTAGTCTTCTTTTTCTTCTTCTTTTTAATTTTCTTATCCAATTGGTGCCCATCAGCTACGGAGTCAGACTTTCCATCAATGCTTCTGCATGCATGAAGTGGTCAACTATTATAACCAAAAGTAGACCTTAAAGACAAATTCTAGGAGGCTTTAGCATTCAACCTTGCATAGGGAATCAGGGAGAAAGGAAACTGCATGATGTGAGAGTATGTTTATCAGAATTGGCATAAGATATAATATTTACTAGTTCAAAGAAGATTCAGGTCTTTCCAACCTATTTCCTCTCAACAAAAAAGATCTTTGACAATGGTAGGGTGCCTTATTCAGAGCTTCAGACAGTAGGCAGGATCAGGATTTAGCGGAGTTTTGGAGAAAACAACACTGCTAATTAACCATTGAAAAACTCACTTATTGATTGTCAGTTTTTGATCTTCATCTATTGCAATTGCTACTGGATCCTCATCCTGCTGACCAGCTTTTAGAGGATCTTGTTTCAGTTGACCCTCTTTAAGGGTGATATCAGCTTTTGTATCATGGCTTTCAACAGATTTGGCTTCCACGGAATGTTTTCTTTTCTTTGATTTTGGACCGCGTTTAGAATCCTCCTCCGCTGGAGGCTCCAGAGTATCAAATTGGCCATCTTTCCTGCCAGAGTATCGTAGCTTGGAAAAAATTAGAAGGGTAATGAGGTGTATAAATAACCTACTGAAAAAATAACTTGATCAGTGCATAGGTGGTGGATAAATCAGTGACTCAAATATGCAAACATTTACATTAAAAAATAAATCAACATCTTACGTATTAATCATTGCCGTCCCAGCATCCACCAGCTTTGCGTTATCCTCTTTGTTTTCAAGAAGTTTACTACCATTGCCCTCAGGCTGTTTCCTCTTCTTGCTTGATTTAATGCTATTTTCATGTCTGTGTTCACTAAGAGGAGCAAAATAAGCAGGGAGAAAGTTAGAACCTTTGCTAGAGGCAAGCAATGAAGCAGTGTTCCCTTGAACGGACAGAATAAAGGAAAAGAACATTCCACATGTATGCATGCCCATAAAGCAGAGAGGAGCGGATAACATGCACGTATTAAGGAATAGCTTCTATTCATTTTTCCTTTTCCAGATTACTCGAGAACTCACCTGCCAGATGCTAGTCATCTTAATACTTAGCATGCTCTGGCAAACAATCATGAACTGGAAACAAGTCCACATGCCACAACGGATATAAGAAAAGAACAATTAAACAAAATTCTTCAAGCTAACTCCCAACTACCAAGGTATGTGGCTCAAAGCTAGAGATAATATGAAACAATTCGATGTAGAATTTCCTTTGGTAGATATTGAGTACCTTGTGTGGATCAAGGAAAAACTATACATTGAAAACTTTCAGCAAGGTATTGTGGAGTTCATGGGAAAATGTAGATTAGAGAAAAAGTGATTTTTGAGGGAGAAGCTCCTATCATACTCGATCCCCTTATTTTCTTCTAAATAGTATAATGTACCACATCAAGCCAAAAAAGGTTACTGCAGTCAGAGAAATCAGTAGTTGCTTAAGTGTGACTTACTTTGCCTTTTCATGTTCAACTGTGCCACCATTTTCTGTCCTATGAGGAGCCTTGGCACTTAGCATGTCATTCTTTTGATTATCTTCTGATGTTTGAGCCTTCACATCAGCTTTCTTCTTAAGTGCAGATAAGAGACAATTGTCTTCATTTTCGTCCTGTAAGATATCCTCATCTTCGGACTCACTTACTTGGTACTTCTTTCTAAGCCTTTTATGGTTGCTATTGTTTTTGTGAAGCTTATTGTCTGACAGGTTCTCATCGTCTACTTGAACTGGAAACACCAAGAAAATTATTAGACGAATAGAAATTCGGAATAAATAATGATAAGAGACTAGCCCCAAGGGTGTGGCTCAGCAGCCGATGAAGGAGGCCAGGGTCTGAATCCTAGCAGACAGAAAAAAAGCTAGGTGATTTTTTTTCCTATCTATCTAACCCTTGGTGGACATACTACCTGATACCTGTACTAGTGGGAGATGCAGGTACCTAGTGTACATTATCGGGGAAAAAAATATTGAGAAGAGAAACTCAGACACCAGCAGGATCATTTGTATCAAAATATTACACTTGGAGAAAGTGAGGGGATTAGCAATCTTCCCTACAATCCCTTTTTTGTTTGTTTAAGGAAAGGAGAGATCCCAGTGGACTATCATATCCCACACTCAAGGAGATAAGCAGTTCCAAAGGGTAGGGGCAGAAGTCATATTCAAATTTAAGGAACAATTGATAGCTTCAATCTTGCATGTTCACATGTGAGTAAAAAGATACCTCCGCTGCTTGAAGCAGGTGAAGGTGGGGATATTTCTGGTTCACCGTCGTTGATAAAGCTATCATCATACTCGTCCTCATCAGTGCCGTGGCAGGATTCCCCTGTTTCTGTATCTACAATATCCTCCCCAAACGACTCTGTATCGCTGTTTACATTTGCGCGTCCACTGTTACCCACATAGTAACCAGTCAGGTAAACAGTTCTTGGACCAAGAACAGAAAAAACCACATCATCTGCCTCCTCGAACTCTAGATCCAAATGGCACGACTCTGTCTTGTTAGGTAACAAAGCACAGAGGAAAACGGGACTCTTGTTCCCCACATTACACTGTACCAAACTTTTAGTTTCAACATTGCCAATTCCCAATGTTGCCTGAAATGCCACAACACACAGAACAAGGAGCTAAAAGTGGTCAATCTCCTGGTTATCCTCAACAAAAAATGAATATGCATCATAAATGGAATCCTAGTTTGACCCAAAAGAAAACTTAATCTTTGCTTTTGAGCTTCTTGCAAACTTTTTCCCTTCGTCTAATCTTTTTGCTTTGTTATGTGAAGTCGAAACAACTCACTCCATTTCATTTTATATAACAGTACACGACTCGACATAAAGCACAATTAGTAATCAATTTGACCAATATATTATGTTCGTGATACTTGAAGAAAGTATTAAAGTAGTGTTTGCAAAATTAATTTGATGTGGAAAATATTACATCAAAGTTCAAGCTGTATAGAAATTAAAATAATTTGGGACATCCCAAAATGGAGAGACTGACATATAAATCGGGACAAGGAGTACATAAAATTAAGATTATAGTAGTTTAAATTACATAGCCCGTATTGATGTTCAACTCGCTTTACTTAAAACTCAGAAATTTAAAGACCCACTTCAAATTTAGCTATAAGTCTATAACATTGAGAATCTGAGATTTAATTAATTTATATATAAATCACCTGAGAAATTCGGAGCCTTCCTCTCGCATTCTCAAAAGAATGAGTGACTGGTTTTCCAGGTTTCACTTCAATTCCTATTTAAAAAACAAAAACAGAAAAATTGCCGCACATAATATTTATGGATTCAAATGGGGTAGCAAGCGTGGCTCTAATGTTAAACGCAGTAATGAATGATAAAAATAGCAGTAGAAAACAGTAGAGAAAATTTTACCCCAAAATGCCATTGGTTCAGCTTCGCGGTGGTAGAACCCTAGGCGGAGAGGAGTGAAGGGCGATCCTTGTTTCTTCTCAAACCCTAAGCTATTTATACGAACGAGTCGGCGGGAGCTGTTTCTTCGCTTTCCTTAGCGCGCTCGCCCTTTTAATATTCTTTTTTTCTTTTCACCGCCCTTTTAATATTCTGCTCATATTTATTTCTGAGTTTAAATTCTACCGTAAAAGATATTTATTGAAACATATCATCTATGAGAAACTCGTATATGACAAAATATTATAATTAAAAAAAATATAAATAGCTTACATATTTAAAGTTATTACTTACTCCGTTCCATTTTTATTGAACATGATTTGAAATTCGATAGTGTGATAGTCAGACTATCTAATTTTTAATGTGAACTCAGGCATAAAATTTTTAAGTTTTTTATTTAAAAAAATATAAAAATAATATAAATTATAATAATTAACAGTTTAAGATATTTAAAAGACATAAAAAAAAAATTGCGGTGAAAGAAAAAAAAATTGACACTTCAAGTAGTAACTATACCAGTAAATTAGGACAAATGGAGAAATAATTATTGGTATAGCTTAATTAAGTATTTTGTGTTCATTTCCTATTTTTAGGAATTTTTAAGATATATTTTTCAAAAAGATGGTTTTTCCTGTTTTAATTAAATACGTGAATAAGAAATTTCAACTGAAATGTTTTTTAAACTAAACTCTTAGCACTCTAGTAAATAAATGAAAACATTAGTCAAGCTAATATTTTTGTACAATTTTCATAATTAAGAGGATGAAACTATTTGATTTTAAAATAAAGGATGTATTTGCTAGTGAGTCACATTATAAGGCAATTTATGCTAAATAAAACATCCTCCACCTTTATGAATTTAGATCTATAGCAGAGAGCTGAAACAGTAAATTTGACTAAAGTGAGTGAGTAGAGCAATGAGGATTAATCCACCAATGTTATTGCAAATTAACAGATCTTATCTTAAATTAGTCAAAGGTGACAATTTTCCGAGGTACTGTTTTCAAAGGTGGTTTGGTGCAGATTATTCTCACACTGAAACTCCAACTACCAAATGCTTCATCAGCTGTTCCCATTTCATCTTCATCCATGGAATCCAATTACTCCCAGGTACAATTTTCTCTCTCTTTTTTCACACACACCCACACCAAAAACACACAGTTGAAAGGAGCAAATTTTGAGTTGAACAAGAAACTGAAGGCTTACTTTTTTTATATAGTAAATTCAAATTTCAATGAATTTTGGCAGAAGATGGCTGCTGATTCAACATGGGTTTCAAAGATTATATTGTATTCTTTCTGGCAAAGTTCATGTTCTTGGAGAGTTCGCTTTGCCTTGAACCTCAAAGGTCTATTCTTGGCTATTTCCCTCCTACTAAGATACAATTTTTATGCAGTTTCTTTTCTTGGTTTTTCAAATGAGGAACTGTTTGATTGCTAACTTTGTGTTTTAGTTTCTGGGGTGCACAGGGATTTCTTATGAATATAGAGCAGTCAACATTGACAAAGGAGAACAGTTCACTTCAAGTATTATGTTTGATTTTTTGCTAGTCATTTAATTGAATTGCTTGGTCAGAAGTACCAAAGGCTTATCTTGAAATGCAATATTGTGTTGATAAAAGAAGATGCAGATAATGAATTCCAAGAAAGCTCATTCCTTGTGGTGCGTCCGGAATGTCTCAGAAGATGCTTAAATCGCGCCTGAATATTGGCATTATCTTTCTCCTGTGATAATTAGATATTATCTGCTTAACTAGACATAGAGATAGTAGGAGCTGGCACATTTTGTTACAATAAGCACATCAGATGTGATTGATGGTTCAATGTCATGGTTCTTCCTAGTCTATGTAAGCCCTTTTAGGTGGAGCTTTTGCTTATAGTTCATGATTACTTATAAACAAAAAGCTTATAGCTCTTGATTATAATAGCGATGAACATAAGTAGCGGCCATCTCAAAAAAGAATATGAATAAGCTGTTTAACTTAGTTTCTTAACGATTAAAAAAAAGCCATTTGACTTTTCTGGCAAAACTTATAACACTAGCTTGTGTGGCTTTTAACTCATGATTGTTATAGTGATGCGCAGAACTAGCAGCTATTTCCCTGAAGGGTAAGAATAAGTTATTTGGCTGTTTCTGATCAGTGTGACTAATCAGAACAAAAAAAATCTCATTGTCTGTGGGTTCTACAACCCCAGGAACCTTCATGAGGTCACCATATCTGTCTGACGTTCTTTATTTTGCCGGTCCCAATAAGATCTCATCTTCCCCATTTTTATCCACAGGGTATCCTTTTCTCAGCATATCTTCCAAATTTATCTTAAAATAACAGCTGTTTTTTTAGGTCCTGATATCATGTTTTTGTAGCTCAACCCTACCCTCCTCTCCAAGACAGCAAAGAATTGTCCAATTGACCTTTCTCTGATATGACTAAGATTACTCCTCTCTACGGCGATATATGCCCATTTAATCACACACTTTCTTTGGTAAGGATGCTGGGCCAGTATCCTAAATTCCTTATATGCAAAGAAATATCCTTTCAGTAATTAATAATTATTGAAAGGATATTTCTTTGCATGTTTGACTCAAGATAACTTGCAGAAAAGGGGATTCCATTTGTGTAATAGATGCTAGTTGCTACTTATGTGAAGAGAATCAGGAAACAGTGAATCATTTCTTCCTCCACTGTAGAATATCCAGACAATGGTGGGAGTTATTCTTAACTATTTGTGGCATTTCCTGGGTGATGCCACAGACGGTGAGGAGTTTGTTGGAAGAGTGGCAAGTCCAAAATGTACCCAGAAAGCTAAAGCGGATATGGAGGACCATTCCATTGTGCATCTTGTGATCCTTATGGCTGGAAAGGAACAATGCTTGCATTAATGGGCATAGGAATCGTATTTCTAGAATTAAGAATAAATGTATTCATAATTTATATTATTGGTGCAATGGTGGCTCCTTAATGGATTTGTATCAGTTTATGGATTTCTTGGATTCGCTAAGTGGGATGTAGGGAGTGTTTGTTGTTTTGGAATGTTCTCTGTATCTCTAAGTACCATCTTGGTACTGTTATAATAAATCTTTACCTTCTCAAAAAAAAAAAATTAATAACTTCTAGTACGATTTAGCTCTCTGTTTTACGGTGCCTGATTCTTCGTGTAATATAAGACCTTTTTTAAGTCAAAGGATCAAGGCATCCAATAAGTAACAGGAAGTCTTACTATGTGAAATCTGTAAATATTATGTGATTAGGTAGCCTCGGTTTGATTAAGCATAGGTATACATGCGCAAGCTCTTGCCGTGTTTGGATAGTAGAAAGAATCAAAGTAGACAAACTTAATCCAGAAAAAGCAAAGGAGACGAAGCGTCTACTTCATTACATTAGAGGACATTCTCTCTTGATTGAGCTATGGAAAGCTAGTTTCTACTTCAGATTTCTACTGCTTAAGATTGTGATACCAGTTAAGAGTAATGTGATAAAGTTTTGTTCCATTTATTTTTACCCTAACGTGACCATAAACACAATCTTCTGTAGCAATCAGTGGTTCACTAGCATAGTTTCAGAACTTGTGCAACTCTTCCAGAATAGAATATTGGTGGTATCTGCGTTATTTTTTTGTTGCATCATTATATCTGACTAATATCATAAGCATAATTTGCAGAGTTTGAGAAATTAAATCCTCTTCATTACGTTCCTGTATTGGTTGATGGCGATGTGGTCATTTCGGACTCCTATGCAATTTTACTAGCAGGTTCTTTTATGTGTGAATAAGATCTTTTAAGCTCATGCATTCTTCTTTGATTCCTAACCCTGGCAGCATCATAAATGATTCAGTTGTGTGCTAATCTCTTTTCTGTGTGGCTAGTATTTAGAAGAGAAGTATCATCAGAGACGCCCGTTGCCAGTTGAATCTCAATTAAGAGCTCTCAATCTTCAGGTTAGATCTAAGTGCCTGTGGATCCTTCAGTCAGAAGTCCTCAAAGGGCATTATGAACTAATCAGGAAAAGAAGTCCTTAAAGGACATTTTGAAGAAAAATATTTTAAAAATAAAAACGAGCTTATTGTGTTGCATGTGTCTACTCATTATCTTGAATCCATAAGGGCAAGATATCTCGAAGAAGGGTGATATATATTTTCTCCACATTTAAGGTTGATGAAGACTTGTGGGAAATTTGTTGTCACAAAATATGTACTACGCAGCAAGGTTGGTTAAGACTAGGATAAAAACTGTGCATGCCTTTTTTATTCTCTGCAGGCAGCAAATATTGTCAGCTCTAGCATGCAGCCACTTCATATGTTGTCGGTGCTGGTATTCTCTGGTTCCAGCAGTTCCTTTCTGTGCTATGAGTGGTCGAGGAAGTTGTTTTGTCAGGGAAAATAATGGTTGTCATTCATTTTTCAGAGATACATGGAGGAAAGGGTTGGTCCTGAAGAGAAACAATCATGGGCGAAATTTCACATACAAAAAGGTTTTGGTGGTAAGTTTCTTTGGAAGTTCCCCTTGATTCTCTTGATATAAGTATGTTATTTGCTTTTTCCCTAACCGTCTCCTAACATTTATCCGCTATATCACTAGAGCTTCAGGAAATTATATCATTCCTGTTAAATTTAGACAAGATTAATGTGAACTAGTGTGAACATTTGAAGCCTCCTTTTAGGAAGAAATTGGTAAATGCATTTACATTGCATGTTCACACTTAATATGATGTCATGCATGACATTATTAAGGCCATTTCTCTTCTATAAATAGCAAGGGTTTTGTTCATTTGAAATCATCTCTCACTTGCCTTCTTATCTCCTAAGGCATTTGAATCTTCTTTCTCTCTTGTAGTATTTCACTTGTATTTTTTGGATGTGAAATAAAGTTTGAGTTGATTGTGTACGAGGACTAGGCAAAAATCAAATTTTACTGAACCTCGTTAATTTTTGGTGTTCTTTTATTATTGTCTCATTTACTATTTATTAGCTACCTTTAGATATAGTAATTGTGATTTAATCACTCTCTATATATTCGGCTTCCGCAACAATTGGTATCATAGCCAAGGTTCTATCTTAGTATGCTCTGTGGTTGCAGCATAGTCTGAACTTCCACATTAGAAAAGAATTACTTTGGTGTTCTGTACTGTCAGCAAATAAATAGTATCTGTAGCAAAATGGGAGATAATAAAAATGAAGAGTGCACATCGGGTGTCAGTAATACGTCGTTGGCATCTTCGCTTATGACAAGAATTATGTCAAATGCGAAATCTGCAGTTGAAATTTTTGACGGGTCAGGACATTTCGGGATGCGGCAAGCGGAGGTTCTTGATGTCTTTTTTCACCAAGGGCTAGATATTGCCATAGAAGAAAATAAACCAGACAATATCGCAGAAGGAGATTGGAAGATTATCAACCGCGTTGCTTGTGGTATCATTCGATCTTACCTCACAAGAGAACAGAAGTATCCATACACAAAAGAAACTTCTGCAAATAAATTGTGGAATGCGTTGGAGGATAAATTCTTAAAGAAAAACAGTCAAAATAAACTTTACATGAAAAAAGACCGTTACACTTCACATATGTTCCTGGTACTACAATGAATGATCATATCACCAGCTTTAATAAGTTGGCGACAGATTTGCAGAATATGGACGTGACTTTTAGTGATGGATATATGGCCTTAATGTTATTAAGTTCACTTCCCGATGAGTACGAGCACCTCGAAACTACTCTACTTCATGGGAATGATGAAGTGTCTCTCAAAGAAGTTTGTTCTGCCTTGTACAGCTATGAACAAAGAAAGAGAGAAAAACAAAAGAGTGGAGAAGGAGAAGCACTGGTCGTGAGAGGTCATTCTCAAAATCATATGAGAACGAAGAAAGCAAGATCCAAGTCAAGATCCAGACCCAGCAAAGATGAATGCGCCTTTTGCCAAGAAAAGGGGCACTGGAAGAAAGACTGTCCAAAGTTGGAAAACAAGGACAAACCTAATACTGGGAAGGCTGTCATGGATTCAAATGTAGCTGATTGTAACGACTCTGATTTCTCACTAGTTACAACTGAGCCATTCAAACCATCTGAATGACTGATGGATTTAGCTTGTAGCTATCATATATGTCCCAACAGGGACTGGTTCATTGATTTTCAAGAAGGGAAATGTGGAGTTATTCACACCGCGAATAACAATCCTCTTACCGCATATGGTATTGGTTCAATCCGATTAAGGAACCATGATGGATTGATCAGAACATTAATAGATGTTCGATACGTATCGGAATTGAAGAAAAATCTCATTTCTGTAGGAGCCCTAGAGTCAAAGGGGCTCAAAGTCGTTGCAGAAAATGGGATAATGAGAATATGCTCCGGTGCACTAGTGGTAATGAAGGGAATTCGGCAAAATAATAACATGTACCACTATCACGGTAGTACTGTTATTGGGATAGCAACAGTGACATCCAGTGATGACAAGGAGGCAGAAGCAACCAAGTTATGGCACATGCGCTTGGGACATGCTGGAGGAAAATCCTCGAAGATTTTATCAGATCAAAGATTGTTAAAAGGAGTAAAGACTTGCAATTTGGAGTTTTGTGAGCATTGTGTCAAGGGGAAACAGACAAGGGTTAAATTTGGAACAACAATCCATAATACTAAATGTATTTTGGATTATGTTCACTTTGATGTTTGGGGTGCTTCCAAAACACCTTCATTAGGTGGGAAACACTATTTTGTAACCTTTATTGATGATTTTTCCCGGAGAGTGTGGGTGTATACTATGAAAACCAAAGATGAGGTGCTGGGAATTTATCTCAAATGGAAGGCGATGATAGAGACTCAAACAGGCAGAAAGATAAAGTGTCTTCGCATAGATAACGGTGGAGAATACAAAAATGATCTTTACAATAAGATTTGTGAAAATGATGGCATTTTGAGACATTTCACCGTCAGAAATACACCACAACAAAATGGAGTGGCAGAACGCATAAAGCGGACTTTGTTGGAGAAGGTTCGGTGTATGTTGTCCAATGCTGGCTTGGGCAAAGAATTTTGGGCTGAGGCAATAACATATGCATGCCACCTTATTAATCGTCTACCATCTGCCGCTATTGGAGGCAAGACACCATTTGAAAAATGGTATGAAAAACCTGCTGAAGATTATAATTTTTTGCATGTGTTTGGCTCAATTGCATACTATCATGTGAAAGAGTCAAAATTGGATCCGATGACAAAGAAAGCTATATTTATGGGGATTACTTCTGGAGTCAAAGGATACCGATTATGGTGTCCAGAGACAAGAAAAATCATATTCAGCAGAGATGTTACCTTTGATGAATCTGCCATAACAGATAAGGTGACAGTTGAAGATGTCAAACAAACTGATGGTACTTCAAAGCAGGTGTAGTTTGAGGAAAAATTAATTTTTCCAACACAGGGAGAAAAAGAGGAAACAATAGAAGATTTTCCCTCGGAAGAAGAGTCAGTGGAAGGGGAGATTCCAACTCAGGAACCCCAACAACAGCTTGAATCAATAGCAACCAGCAAGCCAAAAAGAACAATAAAGAAACCTAATTGTCTCATAGAGACGGTGGCTTGTGCAGCCTCAATTATAGCTGATGGTGTTCCTACCACTTATAAAGAAGACGCAGTCCAAATTTCAGAAGAATATAAGTGGAGGATTGCCATGAATGAAGAAATACAGTCCTTTTCATCAGAATCGCACATGGAAATTGGCCAATCTCCCGAAGGGCAAGAAAGCAATTGGGTGCAAATGGGTATTTGCAAAGAAAGAAGGATTTCCTAACCAAGAAGATGTTCGCTGCAAAGCAAGATTGGTGGCCAAAGGGTACGCTCAAAAGGAGGGAATTGATTACAATGAGGTGTTTTCTCCAGTCGTGAAACACTCCTCCATTAGAGTTTTGTTGGCTTTGGTAACACAGTTGAATTTGGAACTAGTTCAGTTAGATGTAAAAACTGCATTTTTACATGGAGACTTGGAAGAGGAAATCTATATGACTCAGCCAGAAGGATTCAAAGTTGCTGAAAAGGAAAATATGGT